AGAGAGAGAGAGAGAGAGAGAGAGAGAGAGAGAGAGAGAGAGAGAGAGAGAGAGAGAGAGAGATCATTGAATCATTGAACATCTTTGAACAGAGAGATCATTAAACCTTTGGTTGAGAGGTCCCTGACATCCATGAAGGGTTATGGATAGAATCAAGGCAGTTGCCAAGAGATAGGCTTGCTCAGGTTATGTTGTTCATCATCTAGGGGCTAGTCTTCAGTGGCTGAGCTAATTGCAGAAATTATTGAACCTCAGAATTGGCTATTAGTACGGGTTACAAATCTGGGTACAGTAGGTAGTGGGACTAGATGCTAACTCATATCAGGCCCCGCAGGGTGAAGAGGTCCCATTTTGTGCTGTTAACCCTGGAGAGTTTCTGAACTTTGAGATGTTACCTGATGATTTATCCATTGGAAGGGAGGCTGGACCCCGTTTCCAGCAGGTGCAGCTCGCCGGCTTCTACCCTCTGGGGCTCTTACCACCCAAGGGGTAGAAGACCTGGCCCTGAACGATGATTGATTTTAAAAAAAAAAGAAAAAAAGAAAAAAAACTCTAGGCTACCAGAGTGGCCACTTGCCCGGCGGGGCCAAAAATGAATAAAAAATAAAAAAGTAAAAAATATTTCTAATTTAATTTTTATTTTAAATTTGGTAAAGAATTTCGATGTGACCCTGAGGCAAAAGTTGTTCACTTTATTTTTCTGCATAACATGTGTTATTGTGTGTTTCCATGTGCTTTCAGCCGTGTGTGCATGTGTGTGTGCCTGTGCGTGTGTGTGTGTGGAGAGAGAGAGAGAGAGAGAGAGAGAGAGAGAGAGAGAGGTCTGTAAAATGGGAGTGAGGGAATGAATCTTTGGCGGGACGATTCATTCCCGTTTTGTAGACAGAACAAACACGTGCTCTCTCTCTCTCTCTCTCTCTCTCTCTCTCTCTCTCTCTCTCTCTCTCTCTCTCTCTCTCTCTCTCTCTCTCTCTCTCTCTCCGGCAGAGGACGTATTCTTTCTTTTTTTTTTTTTTGATGTTTTTCTTTTTCTTTTTTCCCACCACTTTTTTTCTTTTCCCCCCTGTGTTTCCCCTCTTGCACGTTGAGATCTGCAAACTTCCGGGTTAGCCGCTGTGGTATTGCTTCCCAAGCAGGGAAACATATTGGTGGTGAATACAAAGGAGCATCACTTTGAGATGGTCCCGTAAGCACGAGCAGGTGTAAAGATGAGGGGCCAAATACCTTGTAGCGTGATTAGGATTGAACGACAAATTGTCTACTCGGTATTCGTTACTATTCGGATTTAGTTCGGCAGCAACTTAGGCTATAACCCGCCCGGCATAGGTATAGTCCATTCGGCGGGTTATAGCCTAAGTCAACGGCCCGGAAGTTGTGGGTGTCCCCAAAGGGGGGGCAAAAGGGAATACTGCAGGCAAATACCGGAAGAACTTGGACGAGATAGTGGAATTAAGGGGGACGGGGTGTAAGCTAGTAGTTATTAGTGGTTAGAAGGAGTATAAATAGAATGGCATGGTCAGCCCTCAATTAAAAATGGTATTTCGACTGACAATGATGCTGAACCTCCCGAGATGTATGATTATGCGGTCCTGCAAGGCTGCAAACGCTGTTTCGGGGAACATACCGATTATAAATATAATGGAATGTTTCGACTGACTCGACTGACGCCCTTTCGATTCCGTCGTTGATACGTTTTTTTTTTGTTTGTTTGTTTTTTGATACTTTTCCCAAGGTGCTCGAGTATTTTGTGGGCCCCAAAAACGCAGCGGTTTCGTGGAAGATGCGGCCGAAAGGAACAAAGAAGAAGAAGAAGAAGAAGAAGAAGAGATGAAAAGCAAAGTACGTCCTTCGGGACATCCGTTAAAATTGGAACGATACAGAGAAGATTAGCATGGCCCCTGCGCAAGGATGACACGCATAAATCGAGAAATGGTCCAAATTTAAAAAAAAAAAAGAAAAAAAAAAAGAAAAGCAAAGTACCCCGAGTGTGCAAAATGAGAATGAACCTGCCCGTGGAACATGGAAAGATACATACCAAAACAGAGAAGAAGAAGAAGGAGAAGAAGAAGGAGAAGAAGAAGAATTGGAAGATGGATCTGGTAGTTCTCGAGTGTGTGCGAAAAGTGAGATTGTTCCCCACTGAGGTTATATACCAAAACAGAAGGACATAAGGTTCGGATGTAATTGCGGTCAGATGCACCCAGGTCGGACCATCTTAGGGCATAGTCACACCAGCACTTTCTTACTTATTTCTGGACGGAATTGTGGCCAGATGCATACAGGTTTGGCCGGTGAGATACATTTTAGATAGTGCTAGTGTGAGTGCGCCCTGAAGAAGGCACGTCCTTGGCAGACATGCACAATCGGGGGTGCCACGAATGAGGGCATAGTACTCACACTGGGATTTTTTTGATTCATCCGTGGACGTAACTGTGGTCAAGTGCATGCAGACCTGGCTGCGAAATCCCCGTCAGGTACATCCAGAACAGCCCTACCGTATTCCCCTGAACACATAACGACAGAATACGAGCTTTTTTTTTTTTTTTTTTAAACGTCCATTCCATTTCAGCAAAAGAACTCACAATTCAACCCGGAGTTATCCCGGCAGCATCAGCCGGTTTCGCTTACAGCCTCCCAGGCTGGAGCTCATCATAACCAAATAATTTGTAATTAACTTGCTTCCTTTTGTATCAATCTGCACACATTAACCTCCTTGTTTCCAAGCTCAGAACCTCTCACCTCCATGCTATTCTACCCAACCTACTACCCCTCTAATTATCTTCCTATACTAGCCTATTACTAATGCTAATGCGCAGGCCTAAAACGGCCTGACACGGGCCATAAGGCGGCTTGTTGGAACCCCAGGTTCCTGAAAACACCATGGCTCACCACCCACCCCCAACCTAATGGTCTCCTGTGACCAGAACCAAACCGAGTTCCCAGGTGAAAAAAATTGCATCAAGCCTGAAAACCCACACTAGCCACTTAAGTTAGCCACAAAGGAAAAAACAGAGCAACTAAGTTAATCTAACTAGCCTACCTCTCTATCTAGCCTTACCACTCAAACGAGCGGGTGATTTCCGACCCTCCTTGGGGTGTGATGCGTGCGATCTTTTCCCCCAAGCACCAGGTCTTGCGAAACCACTTTGTGCCCGCCTCACTGGCACCACGCGCAGTCTTCCGACGCCAATCCGCTCTTATCTGTGTCCCAACCAGTCTTCGGAAAAACAATTCTGCTTGCCTTTTCCTGCATGATTTCCACTCGGAAAATCTTGCTGTTTCTGTCCTTCCAGATTGTCCACATCATTGACAGCCTCACCACCTGGGCGACATACTCCCACCCCCCTGTGCCTGCAGTGTCATCCGGCAAGTTTCCCAACAGAACCCACCTCCTCCCTGTCATCTCCTTCCTCCCAGAGAAGGCAATCCAGTGCCTTCCCCACCATTCCCACCATTTCTGAGCCCGGGGGCAATCCCACCACAGATGCAGCATTGATTCCTCTCCTTCTTTACTACTCCCGCACAGAGTCTGGATTTCCATGTGCCTGTCTTCCAGCCATTTTGCTGTTGGTACCGCCACGTGAGATTGGAGCCATACCAACTTTTGTGAGGGGAGCCTCTTGAGCTGTTTCCATAAAGTGTTAAGTTCATTCTCATTTTTCCCATTTGCTGAGCTGTGGAGAGAGGCCAATGGTTGATGACGGCATACTCACACTGGAAGCAAATATCACAAAAAAATGGGATGTTTGCTACCCCTCTTTTGTGATACTTGTGTCTGCTGCTGGTCACACGAAACTGCCCGTGGCATATGGGACACGGTCGCGGCTTTCTCCCTGTCAAAATTTGCGCTCTTGTGCAAGTCACACACGAAGAGGGAGTTCAAAGAAAAGAAAAAAAAGAACGAATCAATTTACGCGCCCACGAGCTTTGTGCTCACCTCTTGAGGTGGACGCAAATTAATTGCACACTCCTGCGGCCAGCCAGGCTGGAGATTTTGTGCACCCATTTGCATCATTTGCTACCAGGCCCTCACCGTGTGACCCCGCACTATCACAGAATCAGTGATTTTTGTGATATTTGTGTCCAGCCTGTGTGAGTATGGGCATCCCCACACCACTCTCGAAATGTGCAAAATGAGAATGAAATTTCCGCTAGAACATGGCCAGATGCACCCGACACATTTTTGTCTTTTTCACATATCGAGAGTGGTGTGGGGACGCCCTATGCCCTGAGCAAATCCTCACAAGAGGTCAAGTTATCTAGTGTGACCTGAATGTCATGATTGCGGGTCTGGCTCTACCACTCAAATTCTGCATGTGCCTGGGGACTGGGGGGGGGGGGCGAATGAACATTTTATCAATGAATTTGGACCATTACCATGTCCAGGTGTACGTAGAACATTGTGCAGTGGATCAGGCCCTTTATTGTTCGCTTTAGTTGATAATTGTCCAGATTCGAGATCTTCGTTTGCTGGTCCTTACACATAACTCAGGATTTCATCAGGCTTTCGGCTGACGTCAAGATAAATGTGTCCGAAGAGGGGTTTTTTTTTTTTTTTTNTTTTTTTTGGGTAGTGTAAGCTGACCAGGGTTTCTGCGCTCTGACCAGGGTTTCTGCGCTCGTTTGCTGGTTAGGGTTCTGCTCCACTGCAGGAGTCTTGGAGGAATTCCCCAAAGATCTCGTGCCGTAAGAATTTGTGGGCCTCTCACGAGAACAGCACCCCTCAAGCAGGAGCAAATAGTGTTCTCCATTTCCACCTAGGCCAGAATTGTGGCCTGATGCATTCAACCGTTTTTAAGGGAAACAGTGTTCTCCAGTTCCTCCAAGGCCAGCATCGTGGCCTGATGCATTTAACGGTTTCTTAGGGAATTCTTGGAAAAAGATAGCTGCAGCACACTCTGTCTCGAGAACCGAGAATCAGAATCAGCCCGCGATCGCAGAGAACAGAGGAGAACTCCGACTTTGGGCCTCCCCACACCACTGTCGACACCACAATTTTCGATAATTTCTCTTCGCCACACGCGCTGTCCAAATTGGAGACGGGAAGAAAATTCGCGAGTTGTCAGAGAATGCTTTTAGACACCACCTCCTGTCGAAAGTTGTTGAATCCCCAGCCTGCTACTGCTACTCCGAAGCTTTCGACAACAGTCCTCAGCTGCGCCATCGACTTCTCTTCAAAATTCGGTGGTGGGCATGAGGTCCGGATGGACTAGTGCTTGCCGTACCCTCAGGGCCGTTTGTCTTTTTCCATCTTACATCCACAAGTGCGTCCATTCTACAGTGCTGTGTGGTGGGTGGCGAAAAATCGTTTGGCAAAAAATGTCTGACAGTTGGTAAAATAGAACGGAACTTCACACCCTGTCATACCAAGTGTGGCGAGGCCCTTTTTAGTGATTGCAGAGAATTAGTCAGTGAACTTAGGCAGAATCCCTGGGGTGAAAAAAAAAAAGTACCTTGCCTCTGCAAAAAATATAAAAGTTATCTGATAAACTCTTTACGCTGTCATACCAAGTTTCTGGGACAAGATGGGTCATCCCTGACGTCCAGCCAAAAAAAAAAAAAAAAAAAAAAAAAAAAAAAAAAAAAAAGACAAGCCTTCTAGAAAACCACTTCAAGCTGGCTGAGAAATTGTGGTGGTAGAGTAAAGCCCTTTGGGGCACAAGCACTGCCAATAGTAGTAGCAGTTACATTGGGATGCTGGACGCCAGAAGGGAAGCGGGGTAAAGGTCCCGGTATTCAGTGACTCTTTTTTCCGGGTAGACTGTGGGGACCTGGGGCCCAAACCTGAATTTGGAGGGTCCAAACCTGAATTTGGAGTATAACGGACTCTGGCTTGGATTCCCAGCATGTGCTGCTCCCCACAAACAGAATGGAGACTGTCTTTAATTAAAAAAAAAGAAGAAGAAAGAAGAAGAAGAAAAGCGAGTGGAGCGGAGCACTTGGCTGAACTCGTTGAGGCCATCCCTCGGGAATGGCAGAGCTTACATCAAGCAGAAGCAGAGAATGCAGCGAGTACTTGGCTCAGAGACGAGACGCACCCTGGATATGTGTACCGAGTCCTGGGTCCTGACCTGGTCTCCGGAACGCGGGTGCAGACATGGCGTCTACAGAGAGACTCCCCTGACAGGGGTCAGTTAAGTCTGGAAGAAGGGGAAAGCAGGTTAAATGATACCAGACACCTGACAGAAGTTCGAGTTAGCATTCAAGATCCAACTAGACACAAGGACAAGGCTAAACTGGAAAAGGACGCAAAGTCCTTTAAAGTTGAAACTTCGCTAATTGGCTGGGACACTCAGAAGAACGGATCAAAAGAGAGTTTCACCCCTCTTCTACACTACCAAACCAAACAGGGAGTTCAGCTCCAGCAAACTCAGATCAAGAAATCAGCGGCGTCAAAGGCTGTTAGCCGCGCAAGAACCCAGAATATTGAAGGGGTTACAGAACACAAGCTATGCTGCTTTTGGAAAGGGCTAATGAAAACCCCAGTGCAAAAACATGCGAGCTTAATGTGGCTGCAATCAATGCTGGTTACTGCAACAGGCGGTATGGCTTTCTGACAAAGGGATGGATATTCCTACCCAGTGCCTGAGATGCAAACTGGGGCTGGGAGAATATGCTCCACGCGTGGTTATACTGCCCGCTTGCAGATGAGCTCCTCATCTGGTGGAAAAGGCACTGGGCTAATATTACCAGAGGGGCCTTTGACTGGACGGATATCACATGGATGCTGTCAGGTCTCCTTCCGACAAATTTGAACTACAACTCCGAGCTTGGCTACCTGGTTGTATGCTGCAGAGGGGTCATAATGGAAACTATATGGGCAGCAAGGAACACCTGCATTTTTAGAGGAGAGACTACGTCACTCAGCCAACAGCAGGCACGTATCAAAATGAATATAAGACTTATTATACGTGCGGATTGGCTCCATAAGAATTAAAAAAAAAAAAAAAAAAAAAAAAGAGAGTGGAGCCCACAATTCTTTGGATGAACTGGCAGTAGAGCACAACCCTTATATTGTTTATCCAGAATGGTGCTGCGGTTTTCAAGCCCCCGGGCCTGGTCCCATTAGAAAAGAGGGATCGGGTTCAATTCCTGAATGGGGATGTGTTTTGCCCAGAAATGCAGAAAAGCAGATCAATAGCAATCTGTGCATCTGTCCACAAGCACGTCCAGATTCAGGAATTAAATCCACTCCTGGTTGCTAATGGGACCAGGCCGCCAATGGCTGTAAGCTAAGCTGAGTACCGCTCTCAGTACTCCGGGCGGAATTGGGCAGCCCCCAGCTCTGGGGGCCAAGTCTCACTTAACAGGCTGTTAGCCGCACCTAGAAAGGAGTAACTACGCGGGAGTCACAAAACAGTTTCGCAAAACAGTTCGAAATTGAACTTCGAGTTTCAAGTTGGACTCCGGGCAATGTATACAAGCCAGCTTTTCTGTCAGGTGCCTGCAGTGCAATTTGAAACTCGTTTCGGCCCGAAGATTGGACTAGCATTGATACAGCTATACCATTGAAGCCCCCTGAGAATTTTCCCGACTTCTTCCCCCCCCCCATCGAATTGCTTAGTGGGAATGCAGTGATACGGGATGGATGGATGATTCTTGGAGTATGAAGGGTGGGATACTGGGAGCCAGGACTTAGATCCACAGTACGCTGCTACGGAGAGGAGAAAAGGGGCCAGGTAGTCAGGTTGGTCAGGCGCCCAGCAGCGGGGTGAAGAGGCCTCGTGGTTAAAACCCCCGCAGGCAGTCATTGAAAAAAGGATGGGAATAGGGTATAGCAGCAGTGGAGATGGTGGCTCTGCTGCAGTAAGTCTTGCCCGAGTGGGGTACAGGGGATTGATTGGGGATGTCTGAGTCGTTTCCTGAATTATGCATATCATATGTTCTTGTCTCTCAGCCATACTTCCAAACCATCTGTTAAATTTTTATATGGGACGCTGGGCCCTGTTCCCAGCATGTGCTGCTCTCCACGAATAGATTGGAGCGTTGTTTCAAAAAAAAAAAATTAAAAAAAAAAAATCAAAAATTGTTACCCCTACCTAAAAAATGTCCATTTTTTACCGCAGATTACGAACATAGAAGATCAGAAGTACAGAATCTCAGAAATAGAGAATGAGCATAAGGCTTGGACCCCACTGGGCGGCCGGTGAAAAAGCAGGTTGGCCACAAAAAAAACGGGCAAAGGCATTTCGAAAGAAATTGGCAGATCTTAATCGTATCCCAATGCCACCGCGAAAAGAGGCACTGGGAACGGTGCCACATTCTCGAAAAGGAAAACCCCAAAGGTGGGGCGGGGAGGGGAGAGAGAGAGAGAGAGAGAGAGAGAGAGAGAGAGAGAGAGAGAGAACAGGAGCGAAAGCAGAGAGATAAGAGAGCAGGAGAGGGCATGGAGCCGCGAGCGTTTTCGAATTGGAATTGAACAGTAGTGTTATACGGACGCCCGTAGAGGGGGTCGGAGCGAGCAGCAGGAGCAGGCCAGCGGTCTGGGAGGAGACCAGAAGAAGAGAGGAGGAGGAAGAAGGTGGAGGTGGGGGAGAAGAATAGAGGAAGAAGAGCAGTGCAGTCAGAAAAAACAGGTGCCGACAGGAGAGCACATCAGGGTGTTGACACGTGGCGTTTCTGCGTGACCTGCTATGTAATGGCATCATGGCGAAGTCCGCGGCACCTGACACGTGGTGCTTTTCGAAGTACTACAACTGCTGCTACACCCCCCATCCTCAGGCTGGTTTTCGTCTTCTCTTTGGCGACGGTGAGCTTATTCGCTCTGAGCTCGGGACCAGGTCTGGGAACAGGTAGGCGAACAGGTCTGGAAAGGCAACAGCTTGTGGCACCTGCTTTCTCCCCACACTCGCATCCACAGCCTTCCACTTCCACGTGGGGGACACTACACGTCAGGAAGCTGAAAACGTGGCTTTATGGAATTGTCCCTGTCAGCGACAACGAAGGCAGCACGGAGATCGCTTCCACCGTAGCTGAACCTGTGAGGTTGCCCGGTACTTATGTCCACCGCCATACCCATCGCCAGCTGCAGAGGAAGGACCGGCAAACGCCTGGTGTGCTCTTCTCGAAGCTGACCGGTCTCGTCGGGCTTGAAACGGAAGGCGCCGGCCGAAGTGCCGCTGTTTTATTGTCCAAGGACCACCATCATCATCAAGATGAGCCGCCGCTTTTGGCAAGCCTACACTTCACGAGAAGATTACAGGGGCCTACTTCTCCGCCTCCGCCTCCATCGTCTCCACCTGCCGGGCGAACTGCTTTGATAAGTAGCGAGTCACCTCCCCCACCTCCCCCACCTCCCCCACCGCCTTCACCGCCTTCACTGCCGGCAGTTGCGTACGTGGCTACTTCGTCACGAGTTTCGTCTGAAAGTACTTCGTTCAGTACTATTCGAACCCCCGGTCCCCCACCGACACTCGGTACACTACGGTCCCAACGAACCGTCCGTCGCACGATGAGTCGACTCCGTACTCTCCGTACTATTCGAACCGCCGGTCCCCCACCCAGACTGGGTACACTACGGGCCCAAGGGACGGTCCGTCGCGCGATGAGTCGGATGAGCATATCAACACTTCGAAGGTGATCATTGTAATAGTCGTGATAATAATCGCGGTTGTAGATGTGATTGATTGTCTGTGTCGCTGGTGTAGTTGTCGAAGCCGCCGAGGAGGTTCTGGTCGAGGGGGCGACTGAGGAGGTGGATGTGGAGATGGAGGCGACTTTGGAGGTGGAGGTGATGCGGGAGGGGGAGATTGAGGAGGTGGGGGAGGCGGAGGTTGACGAGCTGGAGGGGTGAAAGTTGACATTGCCACTGTGGAGGGGGGAGGGGGCAGCAGGAGAAGGAGGAGGTGGAGATGACTGTAGTGGCGAGGTGATTGGGGAGGTTAGGGGGGTTGACGCGGTGGATATGGAGGAGCTGGAGGTGGTAAGAGGAAAGGAGCTGGGCCGCCCTAGCTCATTAGCGGGATTCATCATTCATGGACGCCTTCTGGGGTATCCATCAAGCTTCCGACGTAGGCTTAGCGTGAACCTGGTCGGCCGTTTGGCCAGAATCCGCCAGATGCATGCCCCTTTTTCTTTTTTTCTTTTTCGTTTTTTTTAATTTGATATCGTGTGGTCCGATGGACCACGGATCAGATATTAAACTGATCAGAACAGATACTACAGTTGATCTTAGCCGAAAGGCCCAGAAAGGCATGATCGTCTTTTGTCGTTTTGTGAAAGTTTCCGTTTCTTCCCATAACGTCGTGGACCCCAATGAAGCTCTGGCGGGTCTTTTTTTTTTTTTTTTTTTTTTTTTTTTTTTTTTTTGGGAGCAGATCAAAGACAGGGCCCCGGAAATTGAAAGGGAGGCGCAGCTACTGGCAGGTCTCGGTCTTTGTGTGAGCCAGACCCCCACTGGCGGCCCCAACCCTACACCCTTAACCACTAGGGCAAGGGGCAATATCCCCTTCACAGTGAGAGGTAGCTATGCTTGCAGGGGTCCCCTATAGATAGCCTTAGGAGTACGTAGGTAGTGAAAGGCATCTGGGCCGGTAGAACACATGCTCGGGCCTTTACCCACCTTTGGGCTTCTTGAAACCAGGTCCAGTGTCCCTATTTCTGAAAGAAACTCCAGAAAGGTAAAAAGAAAGGGAGAGCCTCTAACAAGGCCGGGGATTTTTCGGGCAAAGCCTTTTGAAATTCACGTGGAAGGGTCTGGTCCCCCGCAAGTCTAAGACCAGTTGGTGATAAGCCTTGAGAGCGGGCAGCCTGCGGTAGCCTGGGTAGGTCGTGCTTGTCCGTTGCGGTCCGCGTCCACAATTTCCTCTTTGGGAGGAAGGGCGGACGAGATAGCAGGGCGGGAGGGGATGCGAGCGCGTTGTCTGTTTCTTTTTTGCTTTTTTTTTTTTTTCCCCTTTTCGTCCTTTCGCAGAAGGGCCTTGCTGGGAACTTTGGAATGCACCTGCTGCAGAAGGCAACCAAGGGCGTCTTCGCATGGCACACCAAACGAAAAACGAAAGGAGTGCATCGTTTTGCAGAAAATGGCCAGGTTGGTCGGTTTGCTGTAAATAGTAATGACTGTCCTTTTCCACCTTTCATGGGCAGATGCACTCATTTCATTTTCCTGTGCCGTGTGGCGTGCCGTGTGGCGAAGCCCCAAATAAGGCTCTCGCCACACGAAACGAAAACGAAACGAGTGCATCTGGTCACCAAAGCTAGCAAAATACACTCTTTACTATTTATAGCAAACTGATGAACGTGGCCATTTTTCTGGGGGACGATACATTCGTTTCGTTTTTCGTTTCGTGTGCGGTGCCGCAACGCCCTAAGTTTACTCCAGGGCTGTTCTTTTTCCTAATTATATTGAACCCACGACCTCCTGAATGCAACTTCTGTGCCTTACCAACTGAGCTAGGCCTGCTGCATAGCAACCAACAACATCAGCCAACGTCTTGCCAATGCTGTCTTGCCAATGCTGGCTTGGGGGGCCAACAGGTTATCTCTAGCTGGTAGAACACCAAGCTTCCCCAGGCACCAACGTGAGGCCATTGGGGATTGAGCCCCCGACCTCCTGAATGCAACTTCTGTGCTTTACCTCACCAGTAGGTGCTTGTGATCTACTCCACTGCGCTGTGGATGTACCTGGTCCAAAGTTCGGATGCACTCATATTCTGTGTTCCGAGCTGGACTCCACAGCGCAGTGGATGCATCTGGTCCCGAAACTAGTTCCGATGCGTGTAGGACCTGCCCACCATCATTTGCGGATGCATCCACGGTCCTGTAGACAGCTTGGATTTGGACTCAATAGCATTTTTCATCAAACGAGATGCCAAAATGTTCAGTCAAATTATTCTTCCTGAATTAGACATTCAATTGACTGAGGTATGCAAAGCTTCTCAAAACAAAATACAGACTTTGATTCATGCGTTCTATGCTAGAACGAGAAAGAGATTTTACTCCTGTAACAGCTAGTATTGTAGACAGACATGTTTTAGCAAGAGGATCTCAAGAAAAAGTAGTACAAAATATAACTAGGAAAGATAAAGAGGAAAAACCTGATTCAATTTTATTAACTCCTACATGTACTTCGAGTATTATCGTACTTTTGTAAGGGCGAAGCGAACACTCTCCATTCATCTGGGCCGAAAACTGATAACTAATCATATTAGACATTCAATTGAATGAGGTATGCAAAGCTTCTCAAAACAAAATACAGACTTTGATTCAAGCGCGGAAAACAGAATTATCGTACTTTTGTAGGGGGGAAACGAACACTCGCCATGCATCTGGGCCGAAAACTGATAACTAATCATGGGGTTCCCTTTCCATGCCCGGCCGTGCCTCTGAACTGAACTGTCGAAAAGCAGCGCAGCCGACGCTCCATGGCCAGCTGCTCCTGCAAATAGCTGCTTACATGGGCGCCATCGCCATGGTGCACTGGGTGCAGTGACAACGTGGCCCTCTCAAAGTGCACGTGCTGCAGTTTCTGACAGCACAAGTGCCATGGCTTTCTTCTGCTCCTGCTATTTGTTCCTTTTGTTTGAAACTAGGCGGGAGTCACAAAAATGAGTTATAATTGCAGTATGGGCCAAGATACAGTTTGCAATTCCAGTTTGGGCAATGTATACAACCCAGCTTTCCTGCCAGGTAGGGTGCCGGAAGTGCAATTGCAAACTGTATCTTGCCCCTGTTTTTCTCCCTCTTTCTTCTTCAAGTGATATTCATGTATATTCCTGCTGCCATCGTCCCCATACGTCCGCATTTCCAAGTACTCTAAACACGCCGTGCAAGATGGGTGGCGACCATGAGAGAGCGGAATCCCCATTGTCCGTGCTCGTCACTCATCTTTCACAGAAAATGTAGATGTATCTGGACTGGTATATCGGGAATGTACATGGCGTTTGGGAACGCATGTATGTAGAGCCTGTCAGGCAGCATGCTGCAGGGATGGACTCGGAAATGGCACGGCACTGTCGGCACATCAGATGATGATGGGGGTGATATGTGGCTTCAAGTTTGACGCGTGGAGGGAGTAGAGGGGTGCATGGAGATGAAGGGATTCACCATCACGCTCACTTTTTTTTTTTTTTTTGCCCTTCTTCTTTTACTTGCCAATATTATAGAAAGCATCGTGGGGAGTCGAAGGGCAGTGGGAAGCTCATTGCATCATCGTATCCCGTGGGAAGCTCGTTTCATCAGTGTTCATCAGTGGGAAGCTCGTTCCATCAGTGGGAAGCTCGTTCCATCAGTGGGAAGCTCGTTTCATCAGTGGATTCATTAGTAGAGGCTTCCTGACAGTGAGAAGGTCGTTGCATCAGCGGATTGAGTGCGGATTCTTCACAGCTCTGAAGCTGTAGCTTGTTGCTCTATTAGTGCAACTCTCTCTCTCTCTCTCTCTCTCTCTCTCTCTCTCTCTCTCTCTCTCTCTCTCTCTCTCTCT